AAGGGGAGAGATGAGGTGTCAACTAAGTCCACATAGAAGGGTGTCAGCAATGTGAAGTCGAAGGAGGGAACCCTAGCAGAGCTTGAATTGTGAACACCTGGTTTGCTACTGCAGCAAATGCATGCTTAGCGGCCACACTTGGATTTAGCGTTCTGTGGGCGCCCTCTGATCACAGTTGAGGGATGTGAATAGAGCCCTGTCATCAGAGTATTGTAAAGTCGGGCATGGCAGATGTAGCTAGGTTAAAATGTAATGTTTTATCATTTGATCTCCCTCTTAATTTTAAAGTTGTTAAAAAAAAAAAAAGCCAAGGGGCTAATTGAAGGGTGGAGGGATAAATGGCTTGGTGAGTCTCGCCTTTCTAGTTCTCGGGTCTCTTGCTTTCTGATGTTTGGATCAGGGTGCAGCTGCCTTAGCCAGTTCCATGCTTCAGCTGGCAAGGCTCACTTCCTGTAAGACATCCCCAAGGAGAAGCCACATGGACCTACCCTGATGCAGCCCTGGGTGCTGGAGCAGCCAGCGCTGAGATGCTTACACACTCACTGACTCGGCTTACCTCCTGCATGGAGTCGGTGTCATAGTGTGTGTTTTGTGAGATGGAGGAGGACTTTGTGGATTGGTGTCAGGCATGTGGGTTAGTGTTGGGCTTGTGGACTTGGGCAGCACTGAGTTGGGATGTTTTCTTGATGTGCACTTACCCTTTTTATGAAACTCTTATACATGAGTTTCTGTGGATTTGTTTCTCTAAAGTACCCAGACTAACACACTGAAAATGGATTTTGGGCTTGCTGTCATCTACAGCCTTCTGCAAAAAAATTGTGAGTGCTGACAATTTAAGTTCTAATACCATTCCCTCTGCAGGTTTGGATTTTGTTTACAATCTTTGGCTCTTACAGGTTGGTGTGCTTCTTTCATGGGGACTTAGTTGATGCCTCACTTCGATGGTTGCTTGTTTTGATAAGCCTTCAGGAGGCCAGTCGCCATTCTTGCTGACAGCTGGGCATCACCTAGTCTCTTTACACGTTGCTATAGCGCCCCCATCTTCAGCGATCCCCTTATGAGGGTCCCATCTGCTTTCTTTTCAATTGAGGTTTTTGTTTTGTTAGTTTTTAAAAACAAAACATTCTCCTGTATATGACATTCCGGTGAACCTAGTAACTGGATTAATGGCTCCTGGGAGGTATGGCAGGAGGGGTTGGGGGCAATAGAAAGCTTAATAATGACGAGTACAAGAACGAAGAAAACGTCCTAAAACTGACTGTGCTGATGATTGTATAGCTTTTCGCAGTTCAATTCTGAACTACTGAATTGTATGACACATGAATTATATGCCAATGAAACTGTTAAACACAACGGGGAGCTGATAAGGCCCAGTCTGCTGGGGACCCAAGAGTTGTCTTGGGACATTTCTCTGGGGACGTGTGGGGACAGGACACACACAGGCCAGCTTCCATGGCAGTGCAGCGAGAGGTTTCCAGCTGCCTTCCTGACTCCGCACCCTCCTCACACACACACACCAGACTTGGGTGTGCCCACCTCCACCTTGGCACTTCTCTGGTGGCCTGCAGGACTGGCCCTGGCCAGCAGTGGGGATGGCTGGGCCCCAAGGACTCAGTGGGCTATTCCTGGGGTTGAAGAAACGATTTGGCGCTCAGAAGTCAGCTCCCCAGGAAGTGGAAAGAGGGGCTACAGGAGCCGTTTGGCTTGTTGCCCATGCTTTGCCCGGCAGGTGGGGATGAGTAGCAAAGGCAGGTGAGCTGGTGGCAGGGGGCTGGCTGGACACACCCCCTTAAGAGTCCAGCCCAATGCCTGGCAAAACACACAGAGAGCCCAGGGCCCCAATACTGTCAGAAGCTGAGGCCAGGCATCTGCCCACTAGGGCAGACAGCTCTCCAGACCAATCCAGTCTTCACTGTCCTTCTGAACCTGGACCTTGGGCACCAGGTGTCCATGGGAGCCCAACTGCTAACATGACTGCCTCACCTGAACACCTGCAGTCACACTCCTGTGCCCCCCCC